TGTTCAGAAAATCAAACAAGCCATCATTGACCTGATGTGCTTGAAAGGAAGTACCCATTATTCACTGGCTTATTTTCGAAAGAGAGTCTCTGATCTTTGGGAAGCAATTTTAAAAGAGCATTTCATATTTAGTTTTCGGAATACGATTGAACTTAGGGCTCGGAGATCCCTGAACGAAGAATATACAAAGACCTCTCTGACTGTGATGGTTGATGGAATGGCCGAACTTAAAGGAAAAATTAATGTAACTCTAAAAAGATGCTCAAAGCGTGAAGAACGGGAGAGGAAATGGAATGAGATTCAGAGAGAGATAAGTGATACGGGAGAAAAGCTTGAAAAGGATATGGAAGAAGCAATGGATGCCTTTTTTGAAAACAATGAAGATAAGACGAGTCTTGATAAGTGGAGAAGAGAGATAAGCGAAAAATAACAAAGGAAAGAGAAATGCAAGTGGAACAGGTGACGAAGGATTGCGAAAGAGCCTTTGTGTATTTGCAGAAACTTGAAGATGTAGAAGAAAAACAAGTAGTCTATGAAGAGCAAATCGTGGAAGAAGCTAAAGCCTTACTTGCCTCATTTCCCGACTTCAAAGAGAAGAAAAATTTGAGGGAGTTATTTGAAGAAAAATGGCAGTTATGGATTGCGGAAGTTCCACCGTCACAGGAGGAGAAAATTGACATCAACAATGAAATGATGAGTTTCATTCGGGAGAAAAACTCTGCTCTAGGTGAAGAGAAATTAGAAAACAAAAACACCGTCTTGTCATTTAGTATTGAACCTAACATAGTCAGCGATGATCTTTCATACAACATAGACATTTTTAAAAAGTTTCTCTACGACGAAGAATGGATTCGAAGACAATGTCTTCGTCATGCTAGAACAATCAAGAAAGATGTTATTAAGATGGCTCTTGAATTTAGCAAAAAAGAGTCAGAATCAGGTGTTAGGTTTACTCGCAGTTACCTTGAGCAGATGTACCAAATTGTTGTTACCACCATAGATGATGAAACCATGAAATATCACTTCAAATTTAAAATTTCTTTAACATTCGATATATTACTCTATACTTTCGCACAGTCGTACCAACTCTTTGAAGAAATGGAGATGCGCTTTTTAAAAGAACGAGACATAAGAGGTAACCTTGAAAAAAACCTGCGACCAGTGTTACAAAACTATTTTGAAAATATTTCCAAGAAGGCAAAACAGGAGTTGGCTGCTTGTTTGTTCATTGATGTAATTGCAAAGCAAATTGAATCGGTGCTAGAGTCTAACATGGGTCTTTGCGTGGCAAAAGAATTATCGAAGAGAGGAGAGTACCAGAACAAAGGTCGATTCCATGCAAGAGTCCTTATTGAACTGGGAGAAAAGGGCAAGTTTGAATCGTACATTCCTTATCTTGAAGATCAAGTTCAATTTATGAAAGCGAAATTAATGGAAGCAATTGAGAACTACTGTCTGAATGAAAACCTGCCTTTTGTCAACACGCTTTTCGAAAGACAAATCAACAAGATCAGAGAAAAAGTCATCGATGCCTTTGAACACGCAAACAGGAAAGCAAGTACTACTGAGAACGCGAAACTGACTTTTTGGATTCAGCAATTTGTCGAGGAATGTAAAACACTCGTGCTCAAGAATGAAATGTTTGTTGCAGTCGTCATTGAAGATCTGGATGAAATTGACGTGTTCCAATTAACAGTTTACGATTGTTTAACCGCGCATATAGAATCTATGATCATTCATGGAGTTAATTATGCCATCTTTCGAAAATGGAATCCGTCACTGCATGAAGTGGTGTTCAAAAACATGTTTGCTTGTGAACGTTCTTGCCCATTTTGCAATGCTTTGTGTGATGAAAGTCATCCAAACACCACAAATGAAACGCACTCCACGCTTTGTCATCGTCCGATGGGAATTTTTGGTATGAAGGATTCAAAGACGAAAAGCTTATTCACAGGTATTTGCACAGAGGAAGTCGTTGGAGATGACAGCTTTAATATCATCGAGTCACCCGGAAAACTGTACCGTTTTAAGGATTACCGTGAGGTCGATAGTTATTACAAATCCTGGAAAATCACTGGAGATACTTCAAGAAAACAATCAATGTATTGGAAGTGGTTTATGGCAACCTTCTGGAAGGAGCTTGCGGAGCAACATGGGGCAACACCTGAGACACCTAATTTCTTTTGGAAGTTCATTTCGTTTGAAATGGCGAAAGAACAGCTGATAACTCAATACAAGTAGTAAGTAGAATTTTGAACTATCGGCCGCTTCGCGTAATACATAATTAATATAAATATCGACAAGGATTTTTTCCCGTTAATCTATATGCATTTCAATTGCATGAACTTCGTGTTAATTTTAGTGAACGTGATTTAGAAGCCCAAATACGTGTATTTCTGTACGTTAATGCTGGGAGGAAGCCATCATAATGCTACATACAAAGATATTGGTGATCGAAGTGTCTCTTGTTATACGCGAAGATATAAATTGTAGCTTGAAATACTGTTCCCATTAATACATGCATGCACTGTTATACCAACAATATATACATGATTTAAATATTAAATATCAGTTGATTTCAAAACGATAAAACTTTCATTTCAGGCCGCAATAGACGCAGCTGCACTATTTCATCAAATATTTAGATCTTTATTTAGCAGTTTAAGCATAGCTCATCCTTTCAGTTGAGCGAAAATACTGTACTGTAAGCTCTCAAAAGTAACGAAATCACTGTACTGTAAGCTCTCAATTATTACTGAAAGCTATTATTATTATTGTAATTCACTAAAATTTATTTCGATAACTCAGCTATATATTTTAATTTATCATAATAGATTATTATATATCACGTCATAAAGCTGGAAAAAAGCCAATTTTCCATTGTGAGTTATCTTTTTTGGGTGTATAAAAAAACGCAACCACTGAATATTTATCGAAACGCTTCTTTTAAAAAAAAAGACCGTAGGCGCACTGGGATTACTAAGGTTGTTTTTATTCATCCTGTATAAAAGTATAATGCATATAATTGCTATATACATTAAATAATTATAAACAAATAATGATTTTAACTAAATCAAATATATTATTTGCCACGAGAGGCCTCTGATCTCGATCAGTGCACATACCATCCGTGCATAATGAAAAACATTATCAATCCATACATGCATTATGTACACAGCAATAACCTCTGACATTATAATGTATGCAATGCAAATACACCAACAAATTGCTGTTCCCATGTAAGTCAGTTCTGGCTCATCGATCAACTAACGAGTTTGCTGACCCAATTGGAAGCGTTAGTAACCTTTTTGCTCGTCAAGGAATTCCTTTTAACCTGGAGGGACCATGTAGAAGTTTGTGACTATATAGTTACAAGCAATTGTAATAGACATAAATTGGCTATATCCTTTCATTTTTTATAGCTATAGTCTGTAAAGTTAAATAATCTCCATATGCATGAATTTAATTTGATGACTATTTTGTTAACATTTTTAATATAGATTTAGTGATTTTTTGATATCGTTAGGAATGTTGACTAAAAAAAGTGGTTCATCGATATTTTGAGATATTCGGAAACACGCGTCGCATGCATTCCGAGTTCAAGAAATATACGGACTTCGTGTGTTAAAATTGCTCTATTTTGAAAAAAAAACCCGGCCAGGCTATGAGATATGTCACTCACGTAAAGCATGTTTTAAAAATTTTGTTATACTTATTGTCGCTTCACAACATCCTGCAATTTATGTTTCTTGTGCTCAATAATTTTCTGGGATGTAACAGTATATGCGTGCAGGGTTGATTGAGAAGTTCCAATGTGTTGGTGAACAGCAAAATTTTCATGTTGACATGCATCATCTGGAAAGCCATTGTCGTTTTGTTTCGACACATAGTTATTTACATATTGTTCAAGACATGTAGACTCGTAGTTTCGTGGACGTATCGTACGAGGCTTTCTGAAATGAAAAAATTCATATCTACTCAAAGAGCAGCGAAAGAATCACACAAAAAAAATTCGATTCAAGAGCAATGTTTATGAACAAAGTGGCAATCTGAGAGAAGCAGGAAAGATTATTCATTTGGCGTTTCGTGCGTTTACATGTGGATCGTGGCAGCTTTCCAGGATGTCAACAATGTATTTATTAGAGTACATCATGAGGAAGTGTCTGAGATGGAAGGAACTCTGCACAATAATAATCAGAAGACGTACCGCGTCAATAAAAAGGGACACTTCAAAATAAAGAATCTTTGTAAAGTTCATTGTGCAATTCAATAATGGCTCTCTGGCATGTTATATCGAAATAAAGGAAAAGTCAAGTTGCCTAAACCTGAAATACTGTCGTCGACGTTATGAACTTTGTGGTCTAATCTTGTGCATACTTCGACGTCTAAAAGTTTGAAAAGAAAATATGGACTCTATATATAGTGTATACGGTGAAATATGAGGGAAACAACGGACCATTAACTGATATAATACACAAACAAAGACATATGCTACGGCCATCTCTAATTTCGCAAATGGCGGCTGTGAAAATACAGCAACGAAATGAATTATTCCCCCCTTGAAATTGAGCACAAGTAAATTGCTTCTTGTAGAATGTTGTGGTATTTTTTATTGACTAGAATTAAGTCCCAACGGCCGCCAAGCAATGCGTGAACCACTTTTTGTTGGGCTTTTTTTCTTATGATATTTCTTGTTGCCTGGCATTTTGTGCACGAAGAGTGTGGAAATAAAAAGTTTGGAAATAAAAAAAGTAAATGTTTTGTTAATTATTCACAAAATGATGAAAAATATCAGTTGAATATTTCAACATGTCAGATAACCACTGGTGCATGCCTTTTAAATCATTATATTGTAATAGTTAGGTATTGATTCTTGTTATACTATAGTCTGCAAAGTAGACAAAAATTTTGATCTAGATATCTATGAAATAATATGAAATAAATTTTGATATTTTCTTGTGAAACAGTGCCATAAATGGTAGGTTATTTAATGAGAATTTTTATTAGTGATTTGAGTTGTGATTCAGTCTTATAAATATTATTAATACTCCAGCCTAAATTATTATTATTTAAAACAATTGCGGATTTAATTTTAACATAAAAGTTCTGGCGGTCGCAAATTTCCGACAATTTTAAATCTTCTCTAAGCTATTTGCCAAGCTATTTATACAGTTCCTGCCATGCCAAGTTTGAGAATCAATGTTTAATTACTAAGTTCTCATCGTCTGGATGTGTAGTCAATAAAACTTCGTATCCGAAATCAGTTCCGTCAATAATGGTGTGGGAAAAATCAAAATCTTGGCAGGAATTCAAACCAGTAACCCGCATCGTAGGTCGTAACCTTAACCACTAGACCACCAGAGTTGGTGGCGAATAGCCACGCTTTTTTATTTTACCTAATCCTTTTCGAAGAATTTTGAATGGAAAAAAAATTCGGTGGGGAAAATAGCTTTCGCGATTTCCATAATTATCCGACCAATCAGCAGCCACTTCGCAACTACAAAGTTTTAATATTAATATATATCATATCCAAATTTATTGTCTTGTACCAGATTTGGAAAAATGAGTCAGATGAATCTGACGGATTTTTCATATTTAACACGTGCTCGCTTGTATTTAATAGTATGCGATAACCCAGGAGAAAATTGACCCTTAATTTGTGCGTAAGGAGTACTGTTGACATGGAGCGTTTGAACTATTAAAGCACAGATGGTTTATTATTAATCTATGTTTTCAGCTATCTATTCTGTAGGATTACAAATTTACAATTATAAATATCCGACTTTGAAACAGGTTTTCTTTTGAGTTACACCCAGGTCGGTCGAAAAACGCCGATATACAAAACATAAATTTTCCATCCTCTTGTTCTACATTGGAAGACCAAGAGGTCGACCTCGTTGCGTGAGACCTTCAAATCGTTTAAACGTATAATTTAGAAAAACCCAGTCTTTTCTATTCGTTGCTCCAACTTTGGCCGGATCGTCTACAAAGAAACGATAGTTACACATGTTAGTGCATGAAATTTCGCGCTATTCTAAACAAATACATACACTTCATTTATTTTGAATGTTGCTGTATTGAAAAAGCTTTATTTATATAGACGTCTTTGCCAAAGTTCCTTTGGCGTTCATTAAGTTTCCTTTCTACAAGATGATATTTGAAACGAAAACATGCAGAGAACAAAAAATGCAGCGTAAATGGGCCGGCGCGGCCAAGTTGTTGCTCAGGAATAATCACTCTGTAGAAAATATTTAAAGTAAGCAGAAAAACTATGGCAAACAAACGTATATCGCCACACTGGTTTTAATAATAAAAGTACAAATATTAGAACACAAAGTATACATTCACGACCCAACGTTTCAACACTTTAGTCATGTTGAGCGTATATCAAGATCAACGTTTTTTTTTAAGACACAAGATCGAGTGCCGAAACCTTGGGTCGTGAAAGTAATAAACATGAAAATAATTCTGTTACCGGATGTTTCAAAATTCATATCTAAATCAGGAAACTCGTCGAAATTTGATGTGTCATCAATACTTTTTACTTCGATGGGTACCGGGGCTGGTCGATCTCTAGAGCATAAACAAAATATTTTGAAAAAATTACAGAAAGCCCGACCGAACCTAAAAATATCCCATGCACGACTGTATATAATGCGCAATGCAATGTTATGCATGTTATCAATTAGTAATTAATTATTTAATTAATTAATTAATTATTCAATTAATTAATTATTTAATTATTATAAGAAGAAGTCTGATAGATGATAGAAGTCTATTAAGTCTAAAAAAAACCTATTCATTTTACAAGAACACTAAAATATTCGCGGCTGATTTGTATGGGCAATTACGAAGGCTTAGAAATCAGCCGCTCATTATTTAACTAGTACTTTTTTCACATGGTCAATGAACACCAAAATATTAGCATATTGGAACAAATCGTTAGGCTGACATGGCACTGCCAAACAGTATAATTCCTGGGTACCTTATGTGTTCCCAATCAACTCCTCGTAAAAACGCTTGCCCTTTGATTTCCTCCACTCCGTTTGTACCAATCCTGTGATCGCATTCGCAACATAGTCTAAACAAAGCGCACGTTATCTCTTTGAAATATATGTAAGTAAGAAAATGTACAGTATACTGTCCAAGGTGACGCGTTCAAGTTTTCAGTGAACCACGCCAGTGAAGATGATAGAGAGATAATAAAGAGCTATGATCGACCCCAAACACTCCAATAACTGCTTTCCGTTTTGATAGTCAAATTTACCCAACTAAGATGTAAGTAGCTTGTCTGCTTAACGCAGACAATAATAGAATCACACTCACATCACTAAAAGGACTACGTCATGCACAGAGTTTTCAAAGTAATTTAGACATCACACTAAGGAAGAGTGTTTACAGTAAATTATACTCTCAAATTACCTTTGAATTAAATGTCTGGATTCTTGGGAAATTGGTATTTCTGGCGGGAAGACGAGAGTCTCCTTCCAATTCATTACTTTTTTGTACGTTTCTGTGCATTGATAAAATGTTTTTGTAAAAAGCTATTGAAGATTGAAGGATTTTGATATTATCGTCTGAAGCTTATCTTAAGCCGGAAAGGTTGAAAAAAATTGAGAACAGATCCTCTAGAATAGTTCAGTACAGATAAGGCGCTCCTTGACTCTGGGCCGGTTGTATGAAAAGGAAGCTATAAGTATAGTTTGTGACGTAATTGGACAATCAGATTCGTGTATTTCTAAGTTTACTACGATTAAATTAAGTAGGGAAAATGTAGTTAATGCTTTTCACAATCTGTCCCTGATCATTTGTTTTCTTAACAAGTTTTCTTAAGTTGAACAAACCTTGAGGAGTTTCTGAACAAAACGGAGGATAACCTATATGGATAATAATAAAAAAATACCAAAATGTTACGATACTTGGGTCGAGGTAGCGGGGTCATTAGGACAACAGACTTCCATCATGATCTAGGTACTAATGGAAGCTTTTCACTGCAGACTGAATTCCTACTTGAATTCGTCGGTTTTCTTCCCCCTATAATATTGCGGTGCCCCCCCCCCCAATAATGACAGGGTGCTCAGTAAAGACTCTTTCCAGCGTGAATTTTTGTTTGTGCAAAAGTAATAGAATGACAGCCATTTGAAGTGCCTTCAAGTCTTTGACTCTTATTGAGTCTGAAAAGCTAGAGGCTTGAAGCAGTATGCTCCTCTATCAAATCAAGACCAATAACCAGAAACATGTTACGCATGTAGTAAGTAGCATGCTGCCAATAATATTTACGAAAAAACCGTGAAAATTTATGAAAAATGCTACTCAAGAAAAAAATGACGTGACCAGTGGTGCATCCAAAAACGCGGGGTTACAAAATGCAGAAGTTTCTACTCTCTTGTCAGATGGTCAACACTAGCTTATTATAGAAAACATACCAATCAACATTTCATAAAGTATAACTCCTAAACTCCACCAATCAGAGGTCTTAGTATAGCCAGTTTGTTGAAATACTTCAGGAGCAATGTAGTCAGGTGTTCCCACCGTAGAATATGCCTGCAGACAAAACATTCATGTTTGCAAACACGGTTTATGATTTCTTACACAGCGCTTTTGTATATAGCCGCCGTTAGCACGAGTACTACATAATGCAGTCTTCCCACACACGGGTAGAGTAGGAATGTACTACAAATTTAGCCTAATATTAAGGGCCTCCACAGACTAGGGATTTAGTTGTCGACAACTATTTGTGATCGACAACTAAAAGTTATCGACAACTAAAAAACGTAGTCTGTCTCGCAAGTTGTCGGCAACTAAACTCTAAATTATTAGTTCTCGACAACTAAGCAGTTTCCCTTTTCGAAAAGCGAAAGTTCGTAGTTGCCGACTGCCTCATTTTTTGGCGTTTTTCTAGTGTGTGAAAACTTTTGTTTTAGTTGTCGACTAAGTTTTAATATCCGCGCTATTTCGGTTGCTAAATCAGTATTAGAGCGCCAGTGTGTGGAATCCTTTATCGGACTTATTTAGTTGTCGATAACTCTTAGTGGTCGACAACTAAAATCCCTAGTCGGTGGAGGCCCTAATAAACTAGATTAATAATAGCGGACGCGACGCGAATATGTTTTTAAACGCGCCAGAATAATTAAATCCTGGGACGGTCTCATTCTGCACGGCTATTAAATCTGATTGCGATAAATTTCAAAAGGAACTAATAGTGCTTAACGTGAATATATGAATATTACCCCCCTCCCTATAACTAACGATCTTCCGTCGCCATTGAACTACGGTGCACTAAACACAAAAACATGCAAGCCTATAGTGATGTGCTTTGATTTGTTTGCGTTTGGACTTACCAATGCTCTTCTCATCCGTTTCCACGTGGCGGCTTTTCTTTTCGAGTCCAATGGATCATTAACTAAGAGGAAAGGAAAGCAGCAGAATTATATATGAAATTGGCGTAGCTAAATCTCATTTTACATTAGCCTCCATCTTGATAGAATTTTCAAAACATTTGTACGAATGGTTGCTGAATGCATTTGGGATTTTGGCAATCTAAACTACATGTCTTTTTTACACACTTGTTCTTGGGAATGCGAAAGCATTAGAAAGTTGACAGTTGCAAAATTGGACAAACATCGCAGTCGCATTTAACTCTACATGGGTGGTCATCTCACTTTTATAGTATGATAATTAATATTATAGAAATCACTGTTTATTTTTTAGGGAAGAAATTTCGAAATCCCTACCAAAATCGTGCATGTCTTGCGGTTGAAGTTCTCTATAATAATCGGTTCGATGAGCTTTTTTCAAGCCTGTGCACAAACCAAAATCAGCAAGTTTAATATGACCCTAGAAATACAATAAACTGTATATTAGAAACGATGAAGTTGTATTCAAAGAAAGGTATATGAGGGAGTATGAGAGTGTGTAGTCTATCGGACGACGTCGCACTGTTAACGCAGGTAATCAATATACTACTGTCTCTAAAAGAACATCGGCTGAGTCAATTATTTTGTTGTTTATCGATTAACCACCTCACCCTATTTCAGACCTTGAACTTTTCATGAGCCGAACCTAATATTAATGAACTAAAGCCTTTGTATATAGGATGTGCAGTTACAATTATGATGTCCCCATGCAGTTACCAAGAGAATTGAATTTAGCCATGATAATGGCTTAATTTATATATTATTTAAGAATCACGACAACTTGTCACAATCGACAAGTGAAGTAAAAATTCGAATTATTGGGCAAATGGGTACGGGTAAAAAAGATACTAACCCTGCTGTCCAACAACAAATTATCGGGTTTTATATCCCTGAAAGAAATAAACACTTGCTTAGACATACAGCACCATGTAATTTAAAATATCAAACATGTATATAACTTTACGATGATAAAATTGGCAGAAAGCACTGGACTTATGAGGTAACGCTATAATTTACTTAATTAAAGCACAGACCAAAGCTGCAGGAAAGCGAAAGCGCTGAAGTGTAATTTAACATTAAATAAAGTTAAAATAATAATAAATCGGTCAATAGAACTGAAGACAGTTATGGGAGGTTTTGCACGGTTTCGGTCATCGGTCAGATCTCTCTCTCTCTTTCTCTGAACGTACTTGGTATTTCACATTGGGCATGAGAGATAAAAACCAAGATAAATGGACAAAACACAATTTTATAGGGCTGATGTAAATATCGACTTCGTATGTAATTTACCTGTGTATGAATCCAAGTGTATGGATTGAGTCGATGGCTAACACTGATTCAGCAATATACATCCGGGCTTCTTCCTCAGTGAAAGTATCTCTCTTCATTAACATCGTCATTAAATCTCCTGCAACGGAAAAAAAATCAACATATTCGGATGTGATCGACACGCCCCTAAACACGAACCACCCTTCCCGAAAATTTGGATACGATTTACTTCTATGCGATATTACTTCTATACGATATTACTTCTATACGATATTACTTCTATACGGTATTACTTCTATACGATATTACTTCTACCTGCTGCCAGACACCATTATTTTCGAATCGTTTCCCAGCTATAAATTTGCCCTTGTGAACTTGCCTTGAAACTAATTTTTTTATCAAAAGGTGTCTTATTTGAAAGAACGTTAATGTATTCACAAATAAGTTTACGCATTTTTAGAAGATAAATTCATCAAAAAAATTTAACAGCCAACATCAAAATGACATGCATAACTTCATAACCTGGGCAAATTTAAACTTTAAACTCCCGAGAGATTATCATGCAAACTCCATGTTATTGAAACCTGAACTTATTCGTAAACGAAACTTATGCGAGGGCTACTGTAGCTTGTAGTTGCGATTTTTGAGTGTTTGAAGTAGAAGTCGTTTTAAGGCAAGATGACGGATAGCTGTTATTTTGGTCGCAGATATGTTTTTCGCTGATATGAACGATTTTGCAACAAGACTTCGTAAGAAAGGCCAACTTCCTCTTAGAGACCCAAATAATACTACTTGCCATCTCTCTAAAGAATTTCAATCCTTCAATGTTAAAGGGAGTGACGAGTAATGCACAGATCAAAGCACTTACCGCCGGGAAGAAACTCCATAACTAAATACAAAAATTGAGCATCTTGGAAGGAGAAATACATTTTAACGACCCAGGGATTTTCTGCTTCTGCCAGCACATCTCTTTCAGCCCTCACATGAGCGACCTGCGGTGAAGATGAAAAGCTTTTCAGTTCTTGGAAAGGAGGTATCATGTTGGATGTAAACCGCAACAAAGATCATGCATAAAAAGACGATATTAAAACTTGTCATATGCAAAAGGCTGCTTTTAATTAGGCGGTATTTTCCATGCCGAATGCAATTCTTCTTTGTTCGTGAACACAAGACTATTTTGAAATAGACAAAATTCTGCCCCGCGTGCAAAACTAGAGGAAAAGAACCTTTGTGACAGGCTTACAATACATGCAGCATACGCGCAATATTTCCCAGTATTTATCACAGGTTTAAAGTCTAAATGAAGAGGCCTACGGGAGGGAATATGAGTATATTTCTCATATTTATTCTCGCCGTCGCTTGCTAAAGCTGGTTATTGCCACATATAACCTGGTATGTAATTACTGCACCTGTTCCTTTTCTAACATGTCAGCTTTTCTTAGAATCTTCATTGCGTAGACATGACCAGTGTCTTTCTTTTGAACCAGACGAACCTAAGAAGTAAGATTTACAATCAGGTTATGCATGGAGAAGGGAAATATTATATTTATATATTAATATATTAATATACAAATATTTCAAATATCATAAATATTAAATCAGTTTGGTTAATTTTATATTTCTATAATGAAATGCTATTTAGGTAACAAGCTATATCAAACGACTCGAGCTTGTGATTATTGTTAAATAGAAACTTTCAAACGAAGATCATACTCCAGGCAACTTGTAAACATGCATAGTACTGTAGTTATCCAGGGGCACACTGGTTTTCGCTACATTTCCGGAGTTATGAGCATCAGTGGACCGAGTACGTAGTGTGCATGAAAAAGACAAATTAATCACCAAATATAATCTGTTTTCTTCAGTTATTTTTGTTTACTTAAAAAAAAATTCTCTAACTGGCTCTCGAAGTTTCGAACACGTGGAGTCAAATATTTTAGCTCATAAATCAGAACGAAGTTATTAACCATTTTGCTTTGGGCTTCAGACAAGTATGGGCATGTTTGTCATGTGATATACCGCGCTTGCACCCAATCTCACTCTTCCATCTCATATTTGCATCTAGTTCCTAGGCCTCTTATACGTTCTTTAGAACACGCGGCGAGACGGGAACTGAGAGGCTAGAACAAAATGTTTTATTTTGGCTAAAGTGGGGACTTTTTGTCACTTTCTGTATTGAGGTCAGTTTACGATCTACGACGTGGTTAGCTGACCTTGTTCGACGTCGCTAGTTCCGCCAATTTCAATTATTCTTGCTTCTTTTAAAACGGTTTTTGTTGTAAATTGCAAACATTCACTTTGAAATAATAATTCTTAGTAAAAGACAACACGAAATGGGCGGTTATACGCCGTTAACATTAGCAAACATTTTGTGCTAGGCCTCTGGCGCGTGTTCATTCGGTGACGTCACGGGTTTTTAAAACCCACGCAATGAGGCCTAGGGACTAGGCTGTCATTTTGGCGGGAAAATGGCGGGACATGCAAACCGTAAACAGCAAGTCCACCACGAAATAAAAGGATTATTGAACAATAAACCGGCATGAACAAGGTAAATTTACATTACTCATAAAGAATTGTGAGTGCATTTTGGTTCGTAGTCATCACAACGTCTCCTAAAGAATCTTTAGATAACTTTTAGTTGTATTTCAGAAGCATGCAATGTACATGTATAACTTCAACGGCCAAATTACTGCACCCCGAGTTCATGCATTTCATGAATATTAATTCAAAGGGAAATTCAGTTGGAATTATAGTATACTATACATTTACTAGCAATTCGACTTGCGATAATTGCTGTGGAAAACAATTAGAACCTTTTCGATATTCCTTGGAACTAATTTGTTCATTACCATTTAACATAGTGGGTACGTGTCTTTGACTTTCCGAGTTTCAAACGAAGTTCTGCATGATATACTAGTTATATTGTCATAGACGGGCCGGCCCTCGCGATATTTCATCCCCTCAGGGTATTTGTTTACGAATATTCCTTTTTTATAAAGGTCAATAAATAACAAATATAGAAAGACAACGCTGGAATGCATAGGGAAATTAGATTTAAAACCACGAGGTATTGGGATGTGGCGTTTGACTCATCTGTGGTATGACAATTTCATGTCGAACCTCGTGGGAAAAAAGTTGCTTCAGCTTTGATAAATACAGGTAAGGGTGTTTGTCCATTTCATAAACGTTGCCCAGCCACTGCAATACAAAGTGTATTGCATTGTAAACCTGGACCGTTATTATATACACGTATATTATATCAGTGGGTTGTAGCTTGGTTATTGACCCCATACTGACAGTAAAATAGTCAACATAATATATGATACATATATTATGATATTGCACTACACAGCTGTATGCTGCCAACAAATAATGAAACTAACAACATTGAAGTTTAAAGTTTCAACATACATGGCCTATATCAGGCTAACAAAATTGATTTGGGTTTTTCATATTAAGCTGGCTTTTGCAGGATAATATTATGCTGGGTAGTAGTAATAAAATTCTCAGGAATCTGAGATTGAAACCTTTTGCTATAGCATCCTATATTGAAGCTGACTGCTGCAGGCATGATTTGATTTCTAGAGATACCATATTACCAGTGAAATAAAAGCCAATTAAATTCTGAAGCCAAGATCTTGGCTGAGATCTCATAAATGATGCTCTACTAAATTATGTACATTCCTACTAAAATTAAATGTACATGGTACTCTTGTACATGGTACTTTTCCATGTTTCATTGACACTCACCTCACCAAATGCCCCTCTTCCAATCACCTTAAGTGAATCAAAATCATCAACGCCAAGTCTTGACCTCTTAAGTCGGAGAAATTCTGTTTCTTTTTGTGCATGTAGCATCCTCCTTTCCTCTCTCTGGTTGCCAAAAATATGTTGAAATTATATATTCAAAGATTACAGTGTATTTATATCACAAAACATGGCCCGGGCGTTCCAGTCAAAATACCTAACAAGTTGTATAAATTATATGAGACAAAATGCTGAAGTGCATTGATGCTGCCAATTATAATATAATATAAGATTACATGCCAATAACATGCCTAGTATGCACAGGATTTATATCATGGTTGAGCAGATTGAATGATGCTTTATATTAGAAAATAGAGAACACAGCATTTTGATTAAGAATAAAACAATACTGTAAGCTTTAGTTATAATGTACCTACCATGCTGTCAAGATCAGATCATTTTTTCCAGGTTATGCTAACAGTGTGAGTGGAACATAGCTAATGTTTGCAGTAATCTATCTATTTTTTAATATTATATATGGTATGGGAGGTGCTTGGTAGGTCTGATAGATGTAAACTGGCATGAGTTTTTAATTAATTTTATTTTAATATTAAAAACCTGGTTGTTTGGCAACCTAGCTGTGATAATATTGCAGCTTTTTGTACTCAATATTACAGTTTTTTTAATATACTCAATACATTTTCTACAAATTTCAAGTAATGTAATTACACAAAGGGATGCATATAAAATCTGCCTGATAATTTTATCACATACAGCCTTTTATATCCTGTACAAAATTTGTTATTGGCATAATTTAGGTATATGTTAACATGGGGACTTTGTGTAATCTTTTTAATTATATCACGTGCAGCTTTTCTGACGAGTATGTATAAAGGAAATGTGTTTCTCACAATGTTAACATATATGGCACTTTCTTTTTAAAGTCTGGAGTCTATAGTTACATTATCATGTATAGACATAGAATGCAATTTTCACACTTGCCATGCTAATGATTTGTGGTGTAAAAAATGTGTAATTACACTAAAAGAACTTGTTGGAAAGTGAAAAAAAATTTATGCCAGCTCTCATGGTGGGGTTGAGTAAAGCTTCCGATCTGCAGCATAAACTCAAGTTTTCAAGCAATTAAATTTGTTAATGCAGATAGCTTCTTAAACTATATTAGCTGTCTGTTGAGTTCATTTTATACTTTCTTAACATAATATGACCTTGGTCTTTATCATAATATATATAATATATGGCGTGCCAGAATTAAGCTAAATTTTAGTGTCTCTCAAATAAGAGAGATGAGATTTCCATCTGAACACAGGGGGAATTCAACAGAACATGAAAACTTTATGTAAACAGCCACTTAAGGGATGAACAAGTCTTTAATAAATTTGAACAATTATTCTTTGCATATTTTATTATCTATTTGTAATTGAATCCAATAAGTAATAGGTTTTAATGAATAAGTACTGTGTAAGCTGCACTTCAGAACTGCCTTCCTGACCACAAACGATAATACTTTCGATTAGCAGGTCATTTTGTTGCATATTTTTGCAAGCACGTAGCAACCATGGAAAATAATTTACTAAAAAGCCATGTTGAATCTTACGTCAGGAACAGAATGTTTTTACAGCATTAAAGTGTACGACACTTGAGTATTAAGTTTTTTACAAAGATATACGCCTTATTAAAACCATTATATGTTATGTCATCGTGAAATTGGGCAATCATGTGGATAAATTACCTCAGCGAGACAATTTGTTTGCGTATATTATACATATATACCTCTTGAGCGGTTAACCTTGCTCTTCCATTGCCGCTTCGAGACAACATAGTCTATAAAAATTAAATATACGGGGATAAAGCGATGCACATAATCTCCCGCCAGACTGTGGGAACGGTAGAAACGATGTATCTCTGACGAAATTCATTAAAATACCTTGACTTTCTGTCCTTATGCTGTGCTAGAAGATTAGAATAGAACGACTGAAGAGAGACCTTCGTCTTCGCCGCTTTCTCGAGCGTGTGAGGTGAGAAGCGTTCATGCGAGCCACTAGGATTTGACGTGGTAGCCGACATATTGCTGGACGTTTCCTATACTCTATGTAAACTAAGCCATTTTTATTAAAAGACGAAACTTATTTAAGTTATAAGAATACATTTGAAACATTTCATGTTGTTTTGGTATTAAATATATTCAGCGGAAGTTGGAGCTGTCACGTGATCATATCGACCAATCCGATGAGGCGATGACTTGATTTGAGCATCGACTTGGAAATTTGCGAAGGTTTTTGGCCGCATAAATTCCATAAAACCATGTTTATACAACACTGATTAATTTTTTTATGTTTCGGCCTAAATCGGCAAAAATGTTTTGGAAACGACACAAATTCAAAACAAAATTTATTTAGGTGAAATCTGAAAACAACGTCGTTTCAAATGTGAAACGCTAGTGCGATTGTTGTGATTGTCCTGCTCCGGTTTGACGGCGAATTTAATACGAATGTAAAATTATCCAATTGTATCAGATCAGTATTATTATATTATCCCTTTACGCCTTGTGCGTTAGCTGAGTGCGCAGGCGCTTTATTGGAATCAGGCTTCTATATAGAGAGAATGAAAATGGGTAGTTTTCAACTGGTGTCATTGACTGGAGCGCTTCTTCGCTTTAGCTCAGCCGCTGATCTATATATTTTCGCTTAATAGTGTCGTGACGCAAAAATTATAACGACCAGGGGCCGGTTGTAGGTTTGAACTTATCCACCGTTTAAGCTAAACGGGCTTGATACAACCGGCCCCATCTGATCTCTGAATAAAAATCAACTCATCGGAAATAAGATCCTCGACAAAACCGAATTATTATTTCCTTCATTACGTATGACTTCGCCGGGGGGTTGTTTTTCCAAAGTGTTTTTTTTTACTTTTATATGAAAGCACGTTTGTTTCTCACCATAGTTCTAATTCAATTGTAAATAAAGACTGATTTTTTTGCTCTTTATGCTATTAGTAGGGAGAACCAGGATAAATGACTGCAGTGATTGTACATCGTGAGGATATTTAGTGAGGAAATTCTGAAAAATTAAAGTTATTTTAAAATTATCAATTGAAATGTCTTTTCTTACAATGGAATCATCAGAAGGACCGAAAATTAAAATATTTGGAAAACCAAAAGATATTATAACAAGTACGATCGTACTATAGGGACCAGGAACTGCGTAACCGAGTTTAATTTCTGAACTGCATTGTATTTATAACAATGGAGAGGACAATGTATTTCTAATCTTTTCCGTTTACTTATATACAGGGTGTCCCAAAAAAGTCCCCTCTATTGAAATCAAGCCTTTATGATAAACCCAATTGAAAGCAAGACGCTTTATTTGAATGCCTCAACCTAATAACTATGCTATTTACACACTACTGCGGTGATCATGCATTCAAATCAACAAAGGCTTCATTTCAATAGGGGGGACTTTTTTTGGGACACCCTGTATATAGGCTGAATATTAATGATATGTATATATTATTTGCTGCAAATATATCAAGAATTGCTTGTAACTTGCTTCAAAAGTGAAAGTAAAATTCAAACTCCGTCAATCGATGCGGAATATTGCTTAGAATTGTGCCAAGTTTCATTCCGATCAAGTAATGCTATAGCCTTAGGGTTTTTTTTAAAGAGCGTCGCCCCTAACACAACAACCAACACAACAAGAAGATAAGCAGCGGTTAGGGACCAGTTCCTGGTCCAATAAGAACAGGGACCGCGGAGCGTTTTTCGTATTTCTGGGGCTCGGAACCGCGCGCCTGCTAGGAGAGTCCTGGAAATAGTAGATACTTTGTAAAGTTTCCAGCATGTTTGGCGCTCATATAAAAACATTAAACAATATAACCATGCTTTGGTTATGATGTTAAATATTTTGACATGGATAACCACGTTGTTTTAATGGTGAAATGCTTGTCCTATGTAAAGTTGCAAGCCATGCAGCCATGTTTGGTGCTCATATACAAACATTGAACAATATAACCATGCTTTGGTTATGATGTTAAATATTTTGATATGGATAACCACGCTGTTTCAATGGTCAAATGCTTGTCCTATGTAAAGTTTCTAGCATGTTTCGTGCTCATATACAAACATTAAACAATATAACCATGCTTTGGTTATGATGTCAAATATTTGACATGGATAACCACGCTATTTTAAAGGTCAAAAGCTTGTCCTATGTAAAGTTGCAAGCCATGTTTGGTGCTCATATACAAACATTAAACAACATAACCATGCTTTGGTTATGACGTCGAATATTTTGACATAGATAACCAAGCTGTTTTAATGGTCAAATGCGTGTCCTTTTTGTCTCTCTTTTTTTATTTTGGCCAAACATATATGTACTGAACATAACTAATTTCAATCCATTTGTAAACATGGCAGATTTATTACGACAGATATCATTTTTTTAATTGGTTATTTAATTATACGTTGAAGAAGTAAAAGTTATAAAGATAAGATATACTAGATATACATGTAAGCAAAAAATACATTTTGGATCTATCATGTTGACACACTAAAAAAATTACAAGTCGCCTGTGGAATCACTCATGCGTCAAGAAGACGCTTTTATTGACATATGTAAATTATGGGTTTATTTTTCACACAATTTCGGAGTGCGTGTATAGGTACAAAAACCTGGGATGTTCAAACAGTCTTCAGGGCGAGTGATTAGTTATACATATTCAATCGCTCTGTACATACCCGTTTGATTTTTATCCCTACATGGAAGTGATTAAGCCATGAAAATGAATATTTTTGGATAATCCACCATGCTTGCAGAGAAGAGGGAAAAGACTGTTCATAAAACAAATGTGAAAATCAGTCGTGATTGCAATAATAACGATGGAAGTGTTTACAATTTTTATATTGCATTTTAATTATTATAATTCTCTTCTGAGATTCGTTAATTTTACAACTCACTACTATCAATTTTCACCGATCTAATTATAGTATAAAAAGAAAAACTGAACCACAAATCTTCTCTGGGTCAAGCATTTGTGGGAAGTCACATGTTTTATTAGACATTTTGTTGAAATCACCGACAAAAATATGACGGTATATCCGAACATTTTACATTTGACAAAAAACATGGGAGAAGAAGAGAAGTAATTAATGGGCCAGTTTTCTCTGTTTCAAGGCAAAGATTTAAATTTTTCATGACTATCTAAGATAACTGGGTCAATTATATAGGGTCAAATATATTACTGACAACTCCGCGCGTTGGTTGCGTGTGTTTCTCTGATTAGAGACATTAGATTTTTTAAGTCTGTCTGTACTAATCAAAAAGGTTCATTCGCTGTAAAGATTAAAGATAAAGAGTGCCAGCATGCTGCAGTTCCTCAATCTTAAAACATGAATAGAAACGTCTATCAGTGACTCGCAAAGCGTTGTAGAAATAATTTTGAACACATTGCACATATATTTGCCAGCAACACGAGCTTAGGATAAACTAAATCTGCGAGGCGGACGAAAAGAGATGCTGTGTTTGTTGTTACAGTTACATAACACAAACCAAAATTTTAGATTCAATTTGATAAAGAATGCCAAAGCATAATGTAAAACAAATTTAAATTTGATTGCTATTGCTGATATAGCGGCTGCACATGCACGTCGTAGATTTGGTGCGACTTGATATGCTCGCTGATATGTTGAATTTCCTGATTCTATTCTATTTGGTTTACTTCAAAGTTGTAAAAAGCTGTATGACGCTCCTCGTGGAAACAATCGCTTTGCTGACAAAGGCCAACGAACTTAAATAAAGTTTTTACTAATTTTTCCAACTTTTCGCGATTCCTTCGATCTGCTGCTAGGATATCATTTCTAAATTTTCGACTTGGTCGTTTGCTTCAACACGTTTGCTTCAACTCTTAGGATAACATTTACCCTCTATTCATGTGATGTTGCATATGTTTTTACGGTGACGTCTTCTTGTTCCAACTGAAGCAGTTTGTTGACCATTCTTTTTACGCTCAATAGCCAAGTTATTCTAAAAATTACTAACATCAGAGTGATTTCAGCCCTAATTGTTCTAAAAATTTCTACTGCAGGTTATCATAATCATTAGCTTGACCTCGATCATATTTATAAACTTTCAAACAGTTTGCGACTTTCTTCCATTATGGCACGTTTACGGCATTATGCTAATTTTTCCTATGCACGAAAGTAGCTCCATTAGTCGTTGTTTTTAATGATTTTAATTATGATATCAACGAGGTATTCTTGCATTAATTTTAACCCTATCGTCGTATCACCATTCTATCGTACTAAAATATGTCATACCCATGCAAAATTGACCGACTTGACACCAATTCTGTCAGTTAGCTATGTTAATGGAAATATATGGAAAGGCGATTTTTTTGAAGAGTATTTTAAGTTATTTGACCTGTTTATAGATTATAGCTTTGAAACCCTTTAATTTTGGATGTCTCTATTTATTGTTCCCATTTCTTTTCGCATTTTTTGTTGACATTTTGGGAGAAGCTTGCCGAATGATTTCGTCAATAAATGGTACATGTTAATATTTCCGTTCTGCCCGACGGATTTTTTGCACGTATATCACTGTATTTTGTAGAAGAAATGATCCCCCTAGTTTCCTCCAGCTTTGGTACATGTTAGCATATGAAGTACAGAAAAAATAGAATTTTGCAATTTTTTGCGACTGAATCGCGAAATTCAACCTCATTCAATAATTGTTTCATCATTATTCGGTAAATACAAAATATCAATCATATCTACAAATTATAGTTTGTGTGGAATTCTTGAATCTAGAAAAAGCCGGGTTTTGAAAGATAAAAAAATGGCGTGGTTTGCCAAAGTTTATAAAACCTTATTTGCAACATATTTCAATGAAATAACCCTACGACACAGCTTAGATTTTGCAAATGTTTGACGTCGATCATCGACTTGATTTTAAAATACAATAATAATTTTTATTGAATCCGTTTTGATTTGCGTGATAGAGACATTTTTAACACGGGCGTCACGCTTTCATAATTGAATTCTAAACTCTCTCGGCAGACGTCCCTGACTAAGCTATGATCCAAGAACGTCAGTTGACGGGATTTCACGTTCACGATTTCAAAGCAAACGCTGCCCAAAATCTGCGTTAATAATTATTAATCAAAATTATGGCGTTCAACCACATCCAATAATTATTAATTGCTCGCCGCAAATACATCAATTTCTGTTATCGTGGAATTTAAATCAAGCAGATTACGCACCAGTTCCAGGTTGTTGTATGAAGTGGCCACATCAGTATGGTTTAGTTCGAATTTCTGTAATTGAATTTTTAGAGCCCGTTCATAATAATCATTAGCACGATCAAGATCACCTTTACTTTTACACACATCACCCAGGTTGCTGTATGAGGTAGCAACTTTTATATGGTTCAGTCCTGGTCGATCCAATTCAATTTCCAACGCACGTTGATAATAATTGTTCGCACGATCAAGATCACCTTTTCTTTTACACACATCACCCAGGTTGCTGTATGAGATACCAACATCAGTATGGTTCGGTCCTAGTCGATCCAATTCAATTTCCAACGCACGTTGATAATAATCCTTCGCACGATCAAGATCATTTTTTCTTTTACACACATCACCCAGGTCGCTGTATGAGATAGCAACATTAGTATGTTTCGGTCCTAGTCGATTCAATTGAATTTCCAACGCACGTTGAAAATAATCATTAGCACGATCAAGATCACCTTTATTTTTACACACATCACCCAGGTTGTTGTATGAGATAGCAACATTAGTATGTTTCGGGCCTAGTCGATCCAATTGAATTTCCAACGCACGTTGATAATAATCATTAGCAAGATCAAGATCACCTTTACCTTTACACACATCACCCACGTTGTTGTATGATATAGCAACATTAGTATGGTTCGGTCCTAGTCGATCCAATTCAATTTCCAACGCACGTTGATAATAATCATTAGCACGATCAAGATCACCTTTACTTTTACACACATCACCCAGGTTGCTGTATGAGATAGCAACATTAGTATGTTTCGGTCCTAGTCGATCCAATTGAATTTCCAACGCACGTTGATAATAATCATTAGCAAGATCAAGATCACCTTTACTTTTACACACATCACCCAGGTTGTTGTATGAGATAGCAACATTAGTATGGTTCGGTCCTAGTCGATCCAATTTAATTTCCAACGCACGTTGATAATAATCATTAGCGCGATCAAGATCACCTTTTCTTTTACACACATCACCCAGGTTGCTGTATGAGATAGCAACATTGGTATGGTTCGGTCCTAGTCGATCCAATTGAATTTCCAACGCACGTTGATAATAATCACTAGCAAGATCAAGATCACCTTTTCTTTTACACACATCACCCAGGTTGTTGTATGAGATAGCAACATTAGTATGGTTCGGTCCTAGTCGATCCAATTGAATTTCCAACGCACGTTGATAATAATCATTAGCAAGATCAAGATCACCTTTTCTTTTACACACATCACCCAGGTTGTTGTATGAGATAGCAACATTAGTATGGTTCGGTCCTAGTCGATCCAATTGAATTTCCAAAGCACGTTCATAATAATCATTAGCACGATCAAGATCACCTTTACTTTCACAAACAGAACCCAGGTTGCTGTATGAGATAGCAACATTAGTATGGTTCGGTCCTAGTCGATTCAACTTAATTTCCAACGCACGTTGATAATAAACATTAGCACGATCAAGTTCACCTTTACTTTCACAAACAAAACCCAGGTTTCTGTATGAAATAGCAACATGAGTATGGTTCGGTCCTAGTCGATCCAATTCAATTTCCAACGCACGTTGATAATAATCATTGGCAAGATCAAGATCACCTTTTCTTTTACACACATCACCTAGGTTGTTGTATGAGATAGCAACATGAGTATGCCTTGGTCCTAATCGATCCAATTTAATTTCCAACGCACGTTGATAATAATCATTAGCACGATCAAGATCACCTTTACTTTTACACACATCACCCAGGTTGCTGTATGAGATAGCAACATTTATATGGTTCGGTCCTGGTCGATCCAATTCAATTTGCAACGCACGTTGATAATAATCGTTCGCACGATCAAGATCACCTTTTGTTTTACACACATCACCCAGGTTGCTGTATGAGATACCAACATCAGTATGGTTCGGTCCTAGTCGATCCAATTGAGTTTCCAACGCACGTTGATAATAATCCTTTGCACGATCAAGATCACCTTTAGTTTTACACACATCACCCAGGTCGCTGTATGAGATAGCAACATTAGAATGTTTCGGTCCTAGTCGATCCAATTGAATTTCCAACGCACGTTGATAATAATCATTAGCAAGATCAAGATCACCTTTACTTTTACACACATCACCCAGGTTGTTGTATGAGATAGCAACATTTATATGGTTCGGTCCTGGTCGATCCAATTCAATTTGCAACGCACGTTGATAATAATCGTTCGCACGATCAAGATCACCTTTTCTTTTACACACATCACCCAGGTTGCTGTATGAGATACCAACATCAGTATGGTTCGGTCCTAGTCGATCCAATTGAATTTCCAACGCACGTTGATAATAATCCTTTGCACGATCAAGATCACCTTTAGTTTTACACACATCACCCAGGTCGCTGTATGAGATAGCAACATTAGAATGTTTCGGTCCTAGTCGATCCAATTGAATTTCCAACGCACGTTGATAATAATCATTAGCAAGATCAAGATCACCTTTACTTTTACACACATCACCCAGGTTGTTGTATGAGATAGCAACATTAGTATGGTTCGGTCCTAGTCGATCCAATTCAATTTCCAACGCACGTTGATAATAATCATTAGCACGATCAAGATCACTTTTACTTTTACACACATCACCCAGGTTGCTGTATGAGATAGCAACATTAGTATGTTTCGGTCCTACTCGATCCAATTGAATTTCCAACGCACGTTTATAATAATCATTAGCAAGATCAAGATCACCTTTACTTTTACACACATCACCTAGGTTGTTGTATGAGATAGCAACATTAGTATGGTTCGGTCCTAGTCGATCCAATTTAATTTCTAACGCACGTTGATAATAATCATTAGCACGATCAAGATCACCTTTTCTTTTACACACATCACCCAGGTTGTTGTATGAGATAGCAACATTGGTATGGTTCGGTCCTAGTCGATCCAAATGAATTTCCAACGCACGTTGATAAAAATCATTAGCAAGATCAAGATCACCTTTTCTTTTACACACATCACCCAGGTTGTTGTATGAGATAGCAACATTAGTATGGTTCGGTCCTAGTCGATCCAATTGAATTTCCAACGCACGTTGATAATAATCATTAGCAAGATCAAGATCACCTTTTCTTTTACACACATCACCCAGGTTGTTGTATGAGATAGCAACATTAGTATGGTTCGGTCCTTGTCGATCCAATTGAATTTCCAACGCACGTTGATAATAATCATTAGCACGATGAAGATCACCTTTACTTTCACAAACAGAACCCAGGTTGCTGTATGAGATAGCAACATTAGTATGGTTCGGTCCTAGTCGATCCAACTTAATTTCCAACGCACGTTGATAATAAACATTAGCACGATCAAGATCACCTTTACTTTCACAAACAAAACCCAGGTTTCTGTATGAAATAGCAACATGAGTATGGTCCGGTCCTAGTCGATCCAATTCAATTTCCAACGCACGTTTATAATAGTCATTGGCAAGATCAAGATCACCTTTTCTTTTACACACATCACCCAGGTTGTTGTATGAGATAGCAACATGAGTATGTTTCGGTCCTAGTCGATCCAATTTAATTTCCAACGCACGTTGATAATAATCATTGGCAAGATCAAGATCACCTTTTCTTTTACACACATCACCCAGGTTGCTGTATGAGATAGCAACATTAGTATGGTTCGGTCCTAGTCGATCCAATTGAATTTCCAACGCACGTTGATAATAATCTGCAGCGCATTCCAGATCACATCCTGTTATACATGCACAACCAAGGTAGGCGTATGAAGTAGCAACGTCCGTGTGGTTTTGTCCAAAATGTTCTAACCGAATTTTCAGTGCGAGCTGATGGAATTCAGTGGAAAGTTTATAGTCAGAACTGTAGAAGTTAAGGGTTTCCCCAAAAAAATCGTATATTCTGCAAATTTCAGTTTTTTCAAAATTGAAACTGATGACGTATAACGCTTGATCAGGTAAAATGATGTTATTATTCATTTCCTTCTTAAATGCTTTCAAATGCGGAATTAATTTGTTTTTATCTTCTCTATCACTGAAGTAACTCATTGTCTTTACAGCGTCGTGAATAACTTTACTAATGTTTTGTGGGGTTTTTCTGTCCTTATTTTGAATACCAGTCTCGGGAATATTATCTCCTTTAGTTTTGTTGAAAAGTGTTTTGACAGCTTCATGAACAACACGATGAAGGCGGATATCACCATCATTACAAACTTGAACAAACAACGAGCAGTGTTTTAATGTCGGAGTAATATCCTCGGCCTCTAAATCTTCTTGCTGCTGAACATATTTTACAACAAGTTCAAGTGGTAGTGGTTCAAACGATATCAAAGAGAAAAGGTTGAAAGCATGTTCAAGAATGGTGTTATTTTCTCCACATTTTTCAACAGCTAACAGCACTGCTGTGCTCATGGTGGACGAATATGCTGCTGAATTTATCTGCTGAAGACGTTTTTCCGTTAACCCTCTTTTACCTTTCTCGAGCTTTCGTAAATAATCTCGCCAAGAAAAATCTGGGCAACTATTGCTTACTTCTCTCATATACACGGCTGCCGCGGCAATTGCCAGTGGTTGACGATCTAACTTCTCCGCCACCTCATCTAGTATTGGGTTATCGACTTCGGTACACGATAAGAGGACAAGCAGCTGGCGACACTCTTGGTCATTCATTCCATGAATAAGTGAGATATGCTTAGTTGAGACGCTGTCTTGTGGAACAGCATTTGTGTTTTGTGTTGTTAATATAACTTGGCCGTCCTTCCAAACTTCGTCTCCCTTCAAAGGCAGTAGTGGGGATATAAGTTCTAGATTTTCCACATTGTCTACGATGATCCACCATTTTTTCCAATTTTTAATTCTGCAAGATATTTGCGATCTTAAATCTTTGATTTTCTCTTCTTTAGTTTTAGATGAACTTGAAACACTTTGCAATGCGCTCTCGTTACAATTCAGCCGACGACAAAAATTTTCATACGAATAAAAAAGAGAATCTAAATCTTTTCCGTTCAATGTCATTACAAACATTACTTCGTCCTTCGCATGAACATCTTTGCAAATATCTTCACAAACTTGTCTGGCAAGTTGTGATTTTCCACTGCCTGGATTCCCAGAGATGTAAAAATATGTAAGTTTGCCATCGTTATCACTACGCAACTTTTCAATGTCTTCTCTTATCTCGTGTATCTTGTCAGAACGGTAAACGACTTCATGGGCTGGTTCAGGGGGAAGAATTATAAATGACGCAAACAGGTTTTTTATTCGAACGACCTCGTTCATTGACAGTCCTAATGCACCCAATGCATTCTCAACTTTTGTTGTCATGGTTTGAAAGTCTTTATTAGTTAGCGTTTTGTCAGGTATATTATGAGTTATTTCATTTCGCAGTTTTCGAAGAATATCGATTTCAGTCTTTTCTGTTGTACTAAGACTACCACCGATTGAGTTGGAATAAAGAATTGCATCAAAAAGTACGGTACAATCCCACTCATTTGTATCTCCATTTTGAAATTTAGACTGAAGCATGGTCTTATTTGGCCTTGCTCGTTTTTTCTCCAGATTAAACAACTGACTACCACTGACGTTTGTGTCATCCCACGCTCCGAGAGAAGCCTGGTAACGTTTGTTCCATTCATGAATAAAGAAATCCCTCAATTCCTTCCTCACAGCATCAGTGACAATGTAGTCCGCTCGAATGTAGTTTTGGCTTTCCTCGCTTTCCCATGGCAATCCGGACATTCTGGTTCCTAGAAATTTATAACAATTTAATCTAAATAATATTATAAGGAGCAAAATAGGGCAGTCCTCATGGAAATGTTCTCTTAAAAAAGCGAAGATTCTATCTAAATATCGAAGCGAAATTGATATATATCGAAGCCACGTTTCTAAAATGTATATTTGTATACCTAAATGAAAGGTTGATATGACTGCAAGACATTTGCGTAGAAGATGTAGGGGTGTTTGCAGTCAAATTTCTTTATTTGCAATTTGCACCATCTTCTTTTTTGCGAATATAAAGCGTCGAGGTGCGAAATAACGTTACTACGGGAAATAACCTCTTTAGCGTTGATGGTCTGCATTATGTGTTATTTCTCATTGTACGAACACAATTTTGATAAACAGTAAAACTTTACGAGCTCGTTGCCGGGTATAGAAAGAGTGAATTTCAGCTTACGCCATCTATTGCGTGGGTGGTTTATATTTGGATATTAATTACGTTGCTTCTGAGTGTTATCTTTGAATATATCATCGTCAGATGTACTATAATAGATTTTTAAAGTTTTATGAAGTACTTACTGTTACTTAGGAAGTTGAAGATATATCATTCACTTTTCAATCATGGTCTAAACGAAAAAGATAAATTGAAAGATGTTATTTGTATCATGCTGATTATCGGCAGTTTATTAACCGCTGCTATGTGCGAAATTTTGGTCGTTTTGAAAAACGTATGAAGCAAATTTGCACTTCTCACCACTTATTATTAACACAAGAACAATTTTGAATCATGACAAGAGAATTAACTGGTCAAAAGTGAATGAAGTTGCTTTACTTTAATACAATTCAACATTGCTATAATACAAGTCTGATTTTATTTAATTTGCATGGTCACTGAAGCCATGCATTCCACGAATAACGAGATTCGAAACAAACGATATACGGCGTCGTTTCAGCTTTTTGCGCGTCATTTTGATAGGATTAAAAACGATTTAGAATATTTTCTCAATCAGACCGCACTTATTGAAAGAAAAATCGTTTAGACGATGTCAAACGACTAGAAATCAAATCATCATAACCTGACTCGCACTGTTAGTTTTGTTGCCAAAACTTGAAGATTGAATCTTAATGATATAAAGAAACTGCGAACGTTTTGAAAATTTAACGGGAGTAATATCCCACGTCCATGGCGCTAAATGGGAATTTGGAAGAAACTATCAGTTCTTTAAATAAAAAAGTGTATGTCGATTTCTTTTTATATTGACTGTTCCTAGCTTGAATTTGAAGTGTGTATAATTGCACTCGAAATTAAAACTCTTTAAACCTCTGGAGTTTACCTGCATCGAGTGAAGTTCCAAAATTCATAATTGATTTACCCTCACATATTAATAAAGTCTTTCTCAAAGCTAAGCGGGAAAATCGGCAGGAATTTTTGATTACACAGATGACTGCAAATTGCATGTCAAGTTTGGTCGTTTTAAAAACGGTATATCAAACTTATTCGAATTCAATAAAAACACTTACACAATTCAAGAAACATCTGACAACTCGGCTTCTAAAATGTATATTTGTATAATGTATATCCAGATGAAAGGTTGATAGAGCTGTAAGACATTTGCGTATAGGTGGGTGAATTATCCTAGAAGACACGGGGGTTTCCCCAGTCAAATTTCCTTATATTTGCACGATCTTCTTTAACGAATATAAAGCGTTGCATGAGCTGCGAGATACCGTGACTACGGAAAATTACCTCTTTAGCGTAAATTGATAGTGTGCCTTGTGTGTTATTTCTCGTTGTACGAACACAATTTAAATAAACAGTAAAACTTTACGAGCTCGTTGCCGGGTATAGAAAGAGTGAATTTCAGCTTACGCCATCTGTTGCGTGGGTAGTTTATATTTGGATATACGTTGCTTCTGAGTGTTATATTTGGACAAATCATGCGTCAATGTACTATAACATAAGTCTATGAAGTACTTACTGCTACTTCGGAACTTTAAGATATATTCTTCACTTTTAAATCATGTTCTAAAGAAAAAAGGTTAAATTGCAACATGTTATTTGTATCATGCTGATTATCGGCAGTCGACATAATGCACTGCTATGTGCAAAATTTTGGTTCTTTTGAAAAACTTACCGAGCGAATTTGTAGTTCCCTCTACTTAGTTCCACTGATGTTCATAATTGTTCAATTCTATGTCATGGCAGATGTTTAACTGATCAAAAGTGAATGAAGTTGCCTTACTTTGATACAATTCAACAATCCTATGACAATTCCGCTTTTATGACCGCTAATTTGCATGGTCTCTGAAGCCATGCATACCAGGAATAATGAGTTTCGAAACAAACGTTATAATTTAACACATTTCATTTGTGGCTCTGCCTTGCTGGGATAAAAAGGATTGAGAATGTCCTGGCAATATGATTGCACTTAGGGCCCTGTTACACTGTGCAATTTTTCTTCGCAATGCAATTTTACTTCTAAGAGATGGAAATTAGTGAAGAGTCTTGCAGAACAAAAGTGCTTGAAGTGTAATAAACACAAAAGTTTCGCTGTTCCCAAATATACATCTCTCAAAAGTAGAATTGCATTGCAAGTTGCAAGAAAAATTGCACCGTGTAACAGGGCCTTTACTGATGAGCAAAATTGTTTTGAGAATGTGGTACAACTAGAAAAAATTAAAAAAGACGTCGTTCCATTATACACAAATTTATTGAATACTGTTATAGCTCTCTGTTTCATAATATACATTTGAAACTGAAGTATAATTGTCTGTCCTCCCGCAATAACATATAATCAATAATCATTTTAAAAACCCATTGAACACGTATAGAGGAATATATGATATTTTATCCTTATATCAGTTGAAAACACTGATTAATTGTTGATGTCCTAATTTTTTGCTTATTTAGACATTGCTCTAAACCCTCCTGAAGTGAATATCTATCAACATGTGTTTGTGAAACCAGGTACTAAAATTCCAAGCAATATTCACTATAGGTTTAATATTTACGTCTTTTATTCGCACAGATTTAATCTCAATCTTCTTCAAATGCCGGCGAGTGCCAAGCAACTATAAAGGTTGGGTGTTGTCGAGCATAAATATTATGTTTTTGAAATAAATATATCTTTAGAAATTCGATTTACGTAATGCAAATCAGCTCAACGTCTTCAGATACACGACATTGGATTGAACAACTCTTTACCACTGACATAAAGCCACATTAATTTTAGCACGCTTCTCTGCAGACATCTTGTTGACTTTGATTCTTGTGAGACTCGTCAGCATAATATACACATGGGCAATGCCATACCCCAGCCATCGCTGACGTATACACGACCGCTTATAATGTATTTCTTACAGAACCAATGTCTTGGTTCGCACTGTATTACGTAGTTGCGGTTATAATTGAATAGCTGGTAATAAACCAAACTATTGAGACGACTAATGGAGCTACACCATGGAGCTAAGGAGTTGCTATATTATAATGGCTGTATCTTATATAATTTTCCTGGAAGTACGAGAAAAAATTTCAAATTAAAGCAACTTAATTTGGCCTCACTCACGCCATATCATGGCGGTTGGTCATGGCATTTTCAGCTCTCGTAGACTTTGTCATGTTCTGTATTTTTATCTTATTCTTGGCAACCTATCAACTTACACATATTTCCGTAAGTCTTTATCATGTAATTCAACAGTTTTATTAACCACAATAGAAGCCAATATTGTGACAATCAAGTGTTATGGTAAACGGCGAAGATCAACGGTCAAAACGCGACCGTTAACGAACCAAACGATCATTATCAAAGGTACTCGTTTACTGCTACATGCGTTTTTTGCTACTTTACTGTTGCAATTATCTGGCGATGTTCACACTAATCCTGGTCCAATTACGGCGTCAAAACCTTACATCGAAAAGAAACGATGTTTGTTATTTAATGCACGCAGTCTGTGTAGCATTAACAAGCATGTGGACGGAACACTAGTAAGCAATTTATCTTCTTTCCAAAACATGGTGTACGCGGAAAACCTGGACATTGTGGCTGTTACCGAAACATGGCTTAAAGACAGTATTGCTGATAAAGAAATACTTCCGCACGGGTACGATATTCTGCGAAAAGATCGTGCGTCGTTTAAACGTGGCGGTGGGGTCTTACTAGCACTTCGCAGCGATATTACTTACAACAGAATAACATTAGGACAATGGTGCGAGAGATTGGAAATCATTGCGATTGAAATAGTGGAAAATGATTCAAGAAAGAGCCTTGTTTCAGTCTGCTATCGTCCACCTAACTGTGACGCTCACGAATGGCTTGACTTGTTTTCGTCGTTCTTACAAGTTACAGAGAACTATGACAGAGCATTTATTACTGGAGATTTTAACTTTCCAGATCTGACATGGGACTCTCATATCAAATCTAACAGTTATGGAAATGTCTCGGCTAATTCTAATGATTTTCGTGAACTTATGTGGGATCTTTATCTCCAACAAGTGAATTTGTTTCCAACAAGGATGAACAATCTCATTGATCTAATTTTTACCAAGTGTCCTGAAACTGTGTCTGACATATCAAAGGTCGCGGCGAGAGAATTGAATCTCTTTAGTGATCATGATTTGGTTTTCTTCGACATCTGTTTAAATCCAAGATCGTTATTTTGTGATAATCGAACTGTTTTTAATTATCGTTTGGCCAATTGGGACGGTTTGTTTCAAGAGCTTGCGCAACTCGGTTTTGCTGACGACAGTGGCGTAACCGTTGATACACAGTTTGCAGTCGACACTAGCACAACTGCCAATATGATTGACGTTGACGTCACTTGGCAACACTGGAGCGCACGATTTTTAGAAACAGTTTCCCGCCATATACCAACTAAAACAATCAGAAGGCGCAATACTCCACCGTGGTTTGACAGCGAGGTGAGACATCTATTGAAAAAGAAAGAAACGGCCAGAAGAAAAGCAAAATCAAGCGGGAGAACTTGTCATCTAGAGAAATACCGTGCACTCCGTCGTCTAGTTAAGCAATTAATCTCACGTAAGCGCAATGAATTTTTCCAGACTTTGCCCAATTTATTGAGATCCAACCCTAAACAATTTTGGTCAGTATTCAAAACAGTTTCCAATACATCCACTGCTCCAAATAAACTTGAGTGGACAAATGACAATGCTACAGCTACTGCTGAAAACCCCAAGGACATCGCTGATCTTCTGAATAACTACTTCTACTCTATGTTTAAACCACCATTGACTGACGAAGAATACGAACAACATCCTCATTCTCTTGATGATACATTATTATGCGAGCCGTTAGATAACATCCGTTTCACTCCGCAAGAAGTGCATAGAATACTAACTTCTCTTGACATCGAGAAAGCCACCGGTCCTGATAAAATCCCAGCGTTACTACTGTGTGCATGTGCGCCACATATCGCTCCTTCTTTGTGCCACTTGTTTAACAAATCCGTCTCTTTGGGAGAATTTCCAACTGCCTGGAAACTATCAAACATCGTGCCAATTCCCAAAGGAGGATCCAGAAAATCAGTCACCAACTATCGCCCCATATCCTTGTTGCCAATTGTTTCAAAAGTTCTCGAACGCTGTGT